TACTGTGGAAATAAGCAAAAAGGTATTGTGAGCTTGCTACAGCAAAGAAGTCAGCCACTGTTACCTGCATTTTGGCAGAAACTCAAAGGCATACAAAGGAATGGGAAAGCTCTATAGTAGAAAAAAAAGGAAGGCTTCAGGGATGCCCTGTTGGAAGCTGTTGGCATGGGAAAGCTGTAGGAGGGCTAAATAGAAGCAGGACATCCTATGTGATTGATTTAGGGGTGCATATTTGGTTTCTCTGTTTGATCCTAAGTTGAAAGTGGGGACAAAAATTGGGGAAGCTGTCAGTTATTAATCAAGTCCTGACCATTTTGACTTGATTGTTACAGAAGTTAATGTTTAGCTTCCTGGATTGCCACTGGAGATAGCAGTCTGGCTTCCTGCAAGTCTGGCTTATAGCAGGCTGGCAACCTGGGCTATTTATTGTAGATACGGGGTTGGTTTCCTGGGCAGGTTACTGCAGGTTGTGGGTCAAAGTTCTATTTTTATATATATTCTGGGATTGTCCATTTGTACATTGAGTCTCTCACTACATGCAACAATATGGCTGTATCTTTCAAATATTTAAATGAAGCTAGACATATCCATTGATGGATGAATGAATAAGCAAAATAGGGCCTACACATACAATGGAATATTATTCAGCCTTAAGGAGGAGGAAATTCTGACACATGCTACAACATGGATGAACCTTGAGAACATTATGCTAAGTGAAATAAACCAGTCACAAAAGGACAAATACATGATTGCACTTACATAAGGTACCTAGAGTAGCAAGGTCTCTTCATAGAGACAAAGTAGAATGGCGGTTGGCAGAGGGAGGGAGAGAGGGATGAGGAGTTAGTGTTTAATGGGCACAGAGTTTCAGCTGAGGAAGATGAAAAAGCTCTGGCGACAGATGTTCTTACACAACAATGTGAGTGTACTTAATGCCACAGAACTTTACTTTTAAAAATGGTTAAAATGGTAAATTCCATATGTATTTTGCCACAATAAAAAAGCCAGACACAAAGTAGTACATACTGTCAATTCTATTTATATACAGTTCAGAACCAAGGAAACCTACTCTATGATGTTAAAAGTCAGGGCACCGTTTACCTTTGTTGGTTGTGGGGTAGTGACTGGATGCGAGTATGAGAAGGGACTATAATGCTACTCAAGTTCTAATTCTTTATTTGAGTGCTTGTTTCACAAGTGTGTTCATGTTGAGAAAATTTATCAGTGTGAACCCTTAGGATCTGCTTTTTTTTTCCCATATGTATTTTATACTTGAATAAACAAACAAGCCTTTTTGTCTTCTAACTCCGCTGGGCTGTTTTAGAAGCTTCCAAGATCATGGATGGGAAGGCCCCTTGGAAACTACCTAGGCCTATGCAGATGTAAGGGGTGGTTACTCTTAGCCCATGAGTATTTATCCCAGCCAGCATCTTGTTCTGGTGAATGATCCAACGGAGGCCCAAGGCTTGGCAGTGTCAAGTCTAGATTCAAACTTAGGCTTCTTGACTCCAGTGTTCACTCCGAGACGCCAAGGCCTCAAGTATAAGAGTGAGTCTCTTAGATGAGCAAACCCCTTCCTTTCCCAGTGCCCTCTGCTTGGAATTGCTTTGCCCTCCAGAGGAAAACAAGAGCCCTGGTAGAGGCTGCTGAGCTCTATTTCCTTCCTTTGCATTTTTTTTGCTGCTTTAATATTTAACCTTGTGCCAGGCATTTTCATATATATTATCTTACTTGAACTTGACCATAACACTCTGAGGTGTGGATGTTATTAAACTAAGGCAAGTGAAGAAACAGGCTCAGAGAGACAAAGAAACCCAACCAAGATCAAACACCTCATAAGTAGCAAAGATTCAAGCTCAATTCTTTCTGGCCTTAACCACATTCTTTCCTCTGCACCGCATGGCATCCCTCATATTCTCCCATTTTATTCAAATATTTTAAATAACTTACTGTCTGAAGCCAACACAGAAACACAGAGCATAGATAGAAGCAGGGGAAAATGACGTGATGACTTCAGTGGAACCTCTGGATCCACCTTTTAAGTCACTTTGTTGGGTCTCTTTCACTTGTACCTGAAAGATTCCTTATTGATCTAAGTAGGTAGGAAAAGATGGCGGGGAGGTGGGCTGGGGGTTGGATACCAGTTGGAGGTTGGTCCTGATACAATACCCCTTAGAGGTCAACAGTTCCAATCTAAGGTCACACAACTGATGAGTGGCAGGGCCGATATTTGAACCCAGATGTGACTTCAAAAACCAAGGTGTGTGCAATTCTTTCTCTTGAATGAATGAATTTCCTGAGGGTTCTGAACCCTGCCCTTCTGAACAAGGTTAAATACCAGCCTACAACTGCCCTTGTCCTTCTCTCCTTTCTAGCAGACAGGATTCTGAAAGACACTCGCCTGCACCCCACCCTCCCCTTCTCAAAGACTCCTGTCTTATAAGGTTATCTTCTCAACTTACTAACTTCCTGGAGAATTCTTTCCACACCGGCAGGGCCGGACTGGCCTGAAGTATGAGGTCTGGTAGTGAGGACCATCCCAGCCAGCACCTCAGGGCTGCCTTTCAGATAGAAGAAACTTATTATAGGACCCACACTTCAAAGCTACTTCCTTCAGTGGTGCCTGGGGAGTTAAGTTTACCAACGTGGTAATAGTGGAAAGTGGTGCCGAGTGAGTACAATCTGGTATTAAAAAGCCTGAGTTTGAATCCCTGATCTGCTACTTTTTAACTGTCTGACCATGGATCTTGGTTTTTTCATGTGTTCAGTGGTGATACTACTATTTTATTATTGTTGCTGTTGTCTTGTGGGGTTGTTGTGAGAAGTATATGAGATAGTGTATGTGAAGCCACTTTGCAAATTATAGTGACAAGGATATGTGGAGGATGACTATTATTTGCTAGGCTATCTTCACTCTTGGGGGCTTCAAAAAGTACTGTATGAGTCAACTGGAGTCTCTTCCACTCCGATGTCCCAGTGTAAACACCCTGCTTGGCCCTTATTTGAGCTGAACAGCTCTTCTTACTCGAAGGGACTCAGGAATGGGATTTGCTTCTTGTGTGACCTTGGACTTCTGGCTCTCTCTTTTCTGATCTGTAAACTGGGGCTGGAGGGCAGATCTTAAATCTGATAATCCCTAAGGAGTATTATGTCTCACAAAGGAAGTCGCCACCTTGAGGTCACTGCAAAGAGGGGGAAACTATTAGACAGTTTATCATTAACAATAAGCACATCACATCTCAGAGCCCAGATGTGCTGAGCTGTCCTACGTGCCCCCAGTTGCTCCTTAACGTTATCCCTCCATTTACAGAAGTTGAAACTGAAGACCAAGAGAGCAAGACTGCAAGGGATTACTGAGATCTGCCCTGTGCTCCCTGTTCGGGAACTGCTTGACTCCTACTCCAGCCATAGGTTCACATGACCCAGCCCTTCCACCACAGTTGAGTGATCCAGTCACCTTCCCAAGGTGACCAATCTCTGGGCCAAGCAGAGATTTTTCAAACTAGAGATGGGAAGTTCTCTGGTGGAGGCGCTACAAGATACCAAATTGGGAGATGTTGGTAACCCTGTTATCTACCATGTGATACAGAAATCAATCACTCCCTCTCTCTGTTTCTCTGTCTCTCATTCTTGATTTCATTGTTGCTGAAACCAAGCCACCTGGCTGCCATTCTCACTCAGTGGTATTGTAAAAGATATCAGTTGGTTTTATCTCCCCTGGATCCTTTCCCCTCATTTTAATGAAATGACCCCCATTTTCCTTCAGGGAGTTACCCCTCTGCCATCTATGTCCTGGTGGGACTGTCTGTGATGGTTCCTCCCATCTCGCCCCCAAATCATGTGATGAGCATATGACCCAAACCAGTCTAGTTAGACTCAGTCTTCAGGGAATTTTTTAGCGTGAGCAGAGTGATTTATACAATGGAGGCAGTTGTCACTAAGCTCTTTTAATTGCAGTACCGCAAAGAGGTGATTTATGAGTTTTACCTACCTCAATCCCTATGTTGCTTGAATTGCTGTCTTTCTCAAAGCCTCATTGTTTAATTTGACTTTGATCCTATCCAGTACCTTTCCAGTGCAGTCATCTTTTGGCTTAAGTTTTCCAGTGTTGGATTCTGTTATTTGCAACCAAAGATTCCTAACTGATAAAGAAATTGGAACTAGAGTTGAGTTGTAGACACCATATCCTCTAGGAAATGTGGGATATTCAAAATTATTGAGCTGTGATGGGGCAAAATACAATGAGGTTGTTGTTCATGCTCTAGTCTGGGAAGCCAGCAGTGGTCTGCAATGGTAAAGACCTATGTCTTACATTACTTCATAGCATCTGACCACTGAGGATGAAGCTCTCAGAGAAGGGATAACACGTGTCACAGTTAATTTTAAGGAAGTGAGGAATGTTCAAGCTGTGTGATAGAGCATTTTGTTTCTAACTGCACAGAATAATATAAAGGGAGAGTCAACAAAGGAAGCCCCAGTGCCTTTTTTTTTTCATACAGAATGAACAGACAGTATTTCTATGACTACAGTAAAAGAGTCTTATGACTTGCAGTACAGCTGAGTTCTCCAAATACCAAAGTTGGCAACTGATTGTGCAGGTTGCTGAATTCACGGCCCTGCTGCACTTTGTGAAGTTAGGCATTAATAGGGTGTGGGACTATGACAAGTGGAATGATCATATGAGAGATGTGGGAGAAAATCGAAAGCGCTCTAAAACACCAGGTGCAAATAGTTCACACTTTTTCTTACAGGAGAAAGCTCACAATTTCCTGCTTGCCCCATCCCTCAAGGGTACTTAGCTGGAAGGTGGGGATCAGTTTGGCCTAGAGCATGACAAGTAGACACAGTAGGTAAAAATCCTGGACCTATACAGAATTGCAGAAACTTCTTAACTGACACCATCAAAAATTTGGGGAAATACCTGTGGAAATGGATTTTTGTGGTGTTTTATCAAGGAAGGGGGAATGTAATTTTGGCTCAGGCTGATCTTCTTGATATGGATTCACTTACCAGGGATTATTTGGCATTCTCTGTGCTAGCTCCAGGAGCTGGCAAGGCTCTAACAAAATGCAAACTTAAAACAAATGCTGGCCCATGCGAAATGGAACTTAAAGGCCCCAAATCCCTTGGCATCATGTAGAGGAAGGGATTCAAATATTTCTGAAGACAGAATGCTGGATTGCATCTGTTTTGTGCCTCATTCCCACAAATACCTCTAATTGTAGCCCTCACACTTTACCCTTGCTTTGAGGAAAGTCAAGAATGCTGGGTGGAGAGGCTGCAATTTGAAATAGTTTGCCTGATTCAGAGGGGAAGAAGAATGCACAGATGTGGGAGGCCAGGCGTTGGCACTTCGTCCTCCGAAATGAAGTGGGAATGATCATTGTAATATTCAGTAGGCTCTGTATGAGGCAAGAACTCATGGTGTAATGTTACAGGCCGAAAGAATGAGGGTCGTGATCAACTCAGTATACTACTGGAGGCTATATGAGTAACCAGTAAACTGTTTCTCATAAATGCAGAATGTTGGCAAACTGACAAACTGCATCTGTCACCCAGAAGGAATGCTGAGGGCTGTCATGCCCCAAGCATAGTGTTTCTTATGAATAGGTACATCTGAAGCCTGTTAGTAACAATATGAACCTGTGATCAGTTAAGCAACTGACCAGTCGTTACCTCCTCCTCCCTCCTCTTGTTACCCAATAAATAGGAGGGGCTGTGGAAGCTCAGGGGCTGCCTTTGCTCACTAGAGGCAGGGAGCTCTCTTCTTCTTCCCATGGCCCCTTCCTTTAAAACAGTTTCTTTTATTTTAAGTTTTCATCTTTATGTTCCTCCCTTCATTCAGTCTTGTAATGACGTCTCAGGCAGTAACAGTAGTAACTGTAGTAGTGACTGTCTCAAGTGGTAACCATGGCAGACTGCCACAGTGTAGGGCCCTAAAAAGTTAAAGGCAGCCCACTAAAGTCTTACTTGATTTGTTTAACCAGCGAAACATAAGAAACAAAACAAAGCAAGACAAAAACCAAAAACACTCTCCAGTTCTGGCAAAAATTAAAAATAAAGTCACGACTTGAGCCACTATGATAGTTACAGATCATCACCTAACACTGGGCTTGCGTTTAATGATCTAAAGCCCTTTGATTGAAGGATATGCTGCTCGCCTTTGAGGAAGGACTCTGCTATTCTACATGAGTGTAATGTAACTATTTCTCTTGCCTTCTCCAAAAGGATCTGTGGCAATTTCCCAAGGTAACTGGATACTGGAGAAAGGGAAATACCACATTCAGAGAACCTTGATGAAGACTTCGAGCTAATATCAGTTTCTTGGGTTCAAGATTACCACTGTAGGTCCATCTCATGTGAAAAATCGTGTTTTGGCTTTTGTCCATGCCACTGGAGGCCCAGAGGAATTCCAAAACTATTCTATATATCAGCAGTTTCAGAGAGATAGTTGGAAAAGATCCCCATATTGGCTCTCTGACCCATGAAGTGAGGGCCATTGTGATATAAAAGGCCAATAGAATCCAACTGAACAACTGTTTCAAAATAGAAAAGTCAACGATAGTAACATATCTTTAGGGGAGGCTGCAAAAATTAGTGTTTCTACCAAAGACCTTGCCGGCTGATGACTCCAATTAAAACACCATTAATTTCCTCTGTCTGATAGGTGCAAAATTAGATGGGTCTTGGAAAATGACAGTGGATTATTTTAGTCAGGTGATAATTCCATTTTTAACTGTTGTGTTAGATAAATGCTCATGATTACAGTCCCTGGAGTCATGCATCTACTGGTTTCACTCTCTACTCTGAGGAACAGAAACCACTGGAAGCATTTTGCTATTACCTAGAAGGGATAAGAGTTTTCATTTACTGTTCTAACTCAGGCATACCTCTGTTCTCCAGCTCTGTACCAGAAAGACCTTGATTCCCCGAATATCCCTATTCTAAGAGACAGCAAACTAATTTTGCTAAATCAGTTGACTAAATCACATTAACAGGGCCTGGAGAGCACAAAGAAGCAGACACTTCAGCTCTGTAGGTAAGACACACCTTTTGCAAGGTGGGAGATAAATACAGTGCGTCTCAGTGAAGTTTCTTAGAGTGTCCAGTACCCTAGACATATGTGTAGTACTTCTGTCACCACAAAAGAAGTACGATGCTATTTGGATTTTGTTGGTTCTACTGCTATCAGATCCTGGCTTGCTACTGGGCTTTGATGGTGAATGAAGGCCTAACTATAGGACATCAGGTAATCTTATGACCCAATGTGACCAACTACGATCGATCATCCATCCAGATAGAAAGTCAAGCATGCCTATAAGGACTCCATCATCAAGTGTATCCATGGGTACATGGGATTTGGCTCACGTAGACCCTAATGATGTAAGTTGACTGCATGAGAAGTTTGCTTTCAATCAAGTTGCCTGTTTTCTGATTAAACCCAATGACCCACTTGTAAATCTATTGCTTCGTATCCCTATGACTCTGAGTTCTGCTTACTTAGAGAGACTGTCACCTGGACTTTCTGAGCTTTTCTTTTCCCTAGGTGTGTATAAAGGGAGTTACAGTCTTGATTAGGGTAATCAACCACCCTGTCAAGGGGAAATACGGTTACTGCTACACAAAGTAGGCAGAAAGGAATGCAAGTAACTCCATGGAATTCCTTGGGGAATCTTCACATGCCAGCAGGACTAACAAGTGCTCAGATTCTCTACGAATAAAGGTTTAGGTTACCCCATCAAACAAAGAATCCCAACCAACTAAAGTGCTGGCCAAAGGCAGGGGGCATGACATGGTTCACAGAGAAGGGATGTTATAAATGCCAGCGGCAGCCTTATGACCATTACAGAAATGAGGACATAGCAATGACCTCTTTTCCTCCTTGCTGTGTTTTTCTTTTCCTTTCCTCTAGTATATATAGGGTATGCTGGTGGCAGTTACATTTACTATTTATTCCTTATATTACAGGATACTGAGACAGAATTAGTGGTACCAGTGGAAGAATGAACTTATAGCTGGATTCATGAACAGGATATGCCCCATAGGGTGTCTTGCCTTTGGGGAGATCAGTATATTTTGGTTATATATAAGAGAGTTTCCTTATGTTAGAAACATGCATAAGTCTGTGTGTATGGGAAAAGGATGGGAGTGTATGGTATGCTATTTTTGCCTATTAATACCTTTTGCCTTTATTTTGGTGACAATACGTGGTCTTTTCTTTGGGTAAGTACCTTTCCTCCAACTGCTGCAAATACGAATACAGTACCTTGCCCTCCATCCCTCCCAAGAGAGAGGCATATGACTCAAGTGAAATCAGACTCTCTCCTGGGATTGGAACTGTGAGCAGGATGATACAGGGAAGAAAGGTGACTGGAGGCAGATCATGTGGGTGGCAGTGTTTTAAACAGAAGGTTCATGAGTCTTGCTACTGAGGTCCCTAGAGCTCCCCTCATTCCTGTATTTCCTGAGGCCTCGTCAGTCAGCTATTCCTTTGATCAGGTGAATTTCACACATACCCTTCTGTAGTGGGCCAAATGGTGGCCCCAAACATATGTCCGTATTTTAATCTCTGGAACCTGTAACTGTTACCTTATTTGGGAAAGGGTCTTTTTGCAAATGTGATTAAGTTAGGGATCTTGAGATGAGGTCATCTTGGATTATCCTGGTGGGCCTAAGTGTCATCAAAAGTGTCCTTGTAAGACAAAGGCATTGGAAGATTTGACATACACAGACAGTGAAGTGAGATCAGAGGCAGAGACTTGAGTGATGCAGCCACAGCCAAGGAAAGCCAAGAATGGTGGCAACCACCACAAACTAGAAGAGACAAGGAGAGGGTTTCCCCTAGAGCCTCCAGAGGGAGAGTGGCCCTGCTGACATCTTGATTTTGGATTTCTGGCCTCTAGAACTGTCAGAGAGTACGTTTCTACTGTTTTACGCCATCAGGTTTGTCTGAGTTTGTTACAACAGCTGCTGGAAACTAATATATCTTCCAATAAATTCATTTTTTGCTTAATGTCAGTTTCTTTTGCTTATACCCCAAACTCTAATTGTTAACAGTTATTCATCACTTTAATTATTCAATAAATTATCCTTTTTGACCAAGTTTGTTCCAACTGAATTCCTGTCACTTGCAACCTGTTCTGGCTGGCACAACCACAGACAAAGTCTGTGCCAAATCCAGGACTGGAGCCTGAGAATGTGGATTCCAAGTCACTCCACATATTACCCACCCTCTCCAGTCACTCAGGCAGCATGTCAGGGAGCCATCTCCACACAAGCAGAAACACGTCCTGGGGCCCAGCTCTTTATTTGCATAATGGTTTTCATTGATACATGGGAAGGGGAGCGAGTTGTTGCTTTTCTGCCAGGACCACAAACAGCCTCACAGTGGGTTCAGGCCAGATGGTTCTCTCTTGAGCTTTCTCCACACCAGTATCAGGGACCTGTTCGTAGGGTCAGAAAATTTGGAAGCCATCGGGTTTCTTGGTGTGTTTGGCAAGACCATAAGGGTGGTACATGCAGCCCTTCTGATCTGCCCCTAAGCTGGGTTCAGCTGGGCCTTGATGTAAGGAGCAGAGTGTGCAGAAGGGCTGGTATGTGTGTGGTGAATTCATGAGAAGCCCTTTCCTGCTTAGCTCCATCCTCTGTTCCAATCTGGAGACCCAGAATCCATTCATACGTAGGGGGCCAACCATGTACTAGACCCTGTGTATGACACACACGTGCCATTCTCTCTGCTTGGAGTACTCCCCCCTGGAACCCCATTTGCTTAATTAGCAATTTATCATTTGGATGGCAGGTTAGATTGTCACTTGCTCAGGAAAGCCTTCTCACTTTCTCGGGCCATGGTCCCTGATACATCATACACACCCGTACTTAGTAGAGCTCACTATGATATATTTGTGTGATTATTGCATTAGAGTCTATCTTTGGCCCTACTAGTCAGTAAGCTTCACGAGTATAGGGATATATTTTTCCACCACTGTATGTCTTGAGACTAGTAAGCAGTCCACAAGTCAGAAGCCAGTAAATCAGAGTGGCTGGGCATAACAACAGCGTGTGCGTCTGTCTGTGGGTGGCAGCGGGGGAGACACTATGGGGAACCTGAGAGCGCATGCCTCACGCAAAGGCATTCAAATTCTTAAAATATAATAAAAGTACTGTTGGACTAAGCCAAAACATGACTGCAGGCCACACATGAAGCCCCGGTTTAACGAGTATTTGTTGAGTAAGCAAGTAAAGAACCTACAAGGAAGATATTGTAAAAATTTCAAGAACCAAGCAGGGACGGGGCAGGCAGAGCTGAACGGACCTCCTTTTCAGTCTTGTTCACACCTTTTTGAGGGCCAGGTCTCTCTCTGGCTATCTTTTTTTCCCCCTCTGTGCTTGGCACCCAGTGGGCTGTAGGAATTATCTATTCAACATTTACCAAACACTTGCTCTGCACCAAGCCCAGAGTTCAACCAGACAGTGTCTTCCATCTTGAGGCTCAGGGTGATGGGACAGAGACAGCCACAGTCAGACAACAATAGCACAGTGCTGGGTGCTGTAGCCACAGTATGTGGAAAGGGCTACTGGACCCCCTCCTCTGAGTTTCTCAGCAAGTGGAGAGAAGTTCGGCAGATGAGTATGAGAGATATGCCCCCAACAAGGATGACGGGGCTGGAGCTGGCCAGAAGGGACAGGACTCTCACACATGGGCCTGGATGGGTACTCAAGGTAGGGCTGGACAAGGTAGGGCTGGACGTTTGTGTGACGGGCAGAAAGGAACTGCCAAGGTCAGGCTGTGGGGGGAGGGTCTGGGAAGCCAGTATTCATATATGTCAGCCCTCTGCCACCAACATTTCAGAGCTGAGCCGGCTTTAAGTTAAGAGACCCCTCTGCGCTACTTGGCTTTCATTGCCCTCTGGGTCATAGATTCTGACCGTTTGACAGAGAGGCTGGAATCTGGACTTGGGGGCAGGGATTGGACCACTTTTCACAGCAGGTCTTGGTGCAGCTAGGTCGCCTAGACCTCAGGCCAGGGCCCCTTCAGAGTTTCTTTCTCTCACATCATCCCTGGGAGGAAGACTGGAAGATTATTGCTTAGCAAATCTTGCATACCAGCTAAAGAGGCAAGTACAATGCTATTGTACTTCCTCCCAGGACTCATCCTCCTTCCCTCCAGGACTCATCTTTGAGAGCTGACTCCTGTTGGATGCTCCTAGAAAGGAACCACAGCTGAGATCCAGAGCTCCTATATCCAAATCTCCTGTCTGGACCTTTCTCTGGCTCTGAAAGGGATTTCTGACCTTGTGGATCAACTCTGGGGATCCATGAATCCCCAAAACCCACATGCAAACTTCATGAGGGCAGAAGAAAGATGGAGTTGACGGAGCATTGCTCCAGGCCCACCGACAAGCCCAGATTCCAAACCTGACTCTGCCACTTCTGATTGTAACATCTGGGAGAGGCATTGCTCATCTGTTAGCCTCGGTTTCCTCATCTGTGAAATGGCAATAATTATCTTTCTCCAACACAGGGCCAAACATGACCTGGCTCATGTACAGGAGGTGCTCAGGAATCATTAGCATCCTTTCAACTTCCTCCCTCTGGCTCATGCCTGCTTCATGAATGGCTTGGAGGAAGGTTTATAAAGCTTTCTGAGTTGCTCGCAGAATCTCACAGAATCTAGGGTAGCACTGTCCTGCCCTGGACCTTTGGAGGAAGGATTGGAGGAAGGAATGCAGCTTTTGAATCTCATTTCTCAGGACAGCATGAGTGATCTTGAGAGGCTCACTACCATGAAGAACTTTAGCAGGGGAGGAATCTCGGCTGTCTCAGCTGACTGTAGGGGCATGGCAGGGGGTCACAGATCCCTGGTTTTAATACATCTGAGGGTGTGGAGGCTCACTGGGGGCCTGGGTCTCTAGATCTGCAGACCGTCCCTCCTGAGAGGTTTCTCGGGATGTCTCCAGAGATGCCTCCGACACCGCATCAACGCTGCTCAGCAAGTCCTCAAACTCCTGGTGGTTGCTGTTGCGCACGGCTGCCTCCAGGGCCTTCTGGCGCCGGTAGAAGTGGGAGAACTTGTTGAAGATGATGGTGATGGGGAGCGCTACCACCAGGATGCCCCCTAGGATGCAGCCTGAGGCTGCCAGCTTGCCAGCCACCGTCACTGGCACCACATCCCCATAGCCCACAGTGGTCATGCTCACTGTGCCCCACCACCAGCAGGCTGGGATGGTGTTAAAGCCCACGTCCTCCTCCTTTTCAGCTGTGTAGGCCACACCAGAGAACACTGACACACCCACGGCCAGGTACAGCAGCAAGATGCCCACCTCACGGTAGCTGTGCTGAAAGAGAATGTAGAAAGCCAAGTCAGAGTGGATGGGCTTAGAGTCCTGGTATTAGGCATACGGGGAAAGTGAGGCCCAGAGTGCATAAGGGACAGGTCCAAAGTCAGAGCAAGATAGAGCTGGTGCTAAGACCCAGGTCCCCTGACTTTAAGATCTTTGAACTATATTTGGCAGCAAAACTCCCTGGTATTGAGCACAGGCCTAATTTCTATTGTCCAAGGTATCTGCTAGGCTACAGCTGTTTTTTCTAACTCCGGGTTACTGGTGGCACCACAGCCAGGGAATGAAGAGCTTGTGACTTTTACACTGTTGCAGAACCAAGAGAACCATAGTTTATATTCCACAATGCAAAGAGTTGGTTTCATGTACTTTTGACTGATCTGAAAAGTATAAAAAATTTTTTGCTCCTCCAGGAAGCTGAGAGGACATAAGTCCCCTGGACCACCTATAGAATTTACTTTCCTATGGTCATGTATGTTTGCTTTGTCCCTGAGGCCAAGCTCTAGGGCAGTGATTTCAAACAGGGTGGTTTTGCCCCCCTCCCCTCTGCCCCTGCAAGGGACATTTGGGAATGTCTAGAGACATTTTTGGTTGTTGCAACTGGGACAGGTGTGCTACTGTCCTCTAGTGGGTAAAGGCTAGGGATGCTGCTAAACATCCTAAAATGTACAGGGCAGTTCCCAAATCAAAGAATTACCTGATCCCAAATGTCAGTAATGCAAGGCTGAGAACCCCTAGTCTAGAGCAGACTCTCTCCAACTTTAATGCGTGGAAGAATCATGCAGGGGTCTTGGCAGAACCCAATTGTGTAGTCTTGGGTAGAGCCAGAGAATCTACATGTCTAGGAAGCTTCCAAATGATGAGAAAGCTGCTGGTGGGCAGGGGCCTCACTTTGAGTAGCAAGGCTCTCATCTGGAGTATTTTACACCTGCATCTTAGACCCTGGCAGCCCTGATCAGTAATACTCTTCTCCCCTACTGAAGACAAAGCTAGTAGTGTCGGGCCCTGGCTCTCTGCATGGAGGAGATAGGGCAGCGTTCTGGGGCACAGGGATCTTCCCTGGGGAGATGCTGAGCTCAGGGGGTCTGGCGAATGTAATTCCTTATACCTGCCCAGTGCCCTAGGATTCTGCCTAGCTCATCTGCCAGCACCCAGTGTCCTGAGGGCATACAAGAGGCTTTACTAAGCCTTGGGTGGAAGGGATCTTTCTTTTAGCATTGTCTGGGGATTATCAGCAGAGTTGCGTGGAGCTTTAGGAGAAAGAACATGAGGTGCTGGAGCCAGGCACAGCTGGGTTCTTCTCTGGGCTCTACTGCTTATTGAGGAACCTCCAACAAGCACTGTCACCTCTTGGAGCCTCAGTTTCCACATCTGCAAAGCAGTGACAATAACACTTACCTCTGTTTAAACCTCTCAGGAACTCTCCTATACCCTCGGGACCAAGTCCAAAATCATGTGCCAAGACTTCACGGCCCTTCGGTACCCTGCCCAGCTCACCTCTTCAATCTCATCTCTGGGAATCTCCTTCCCTCCATGTCCTCCTCCCAGCATTCATCCTGTTCTCTCTCCAGGCCTCGGCACACGCCGTTCGCCTTGCCTCCCTCTTCAAACCAGGCTGATTTCACCCCCTTGAGCGCAAGCTTGCCAGGGCAGTGATTCACCCACAATGCAGCACCTGGCACCAGGAGGATGCTCAGTAAACTGCAACCAGGCTTTAAAAAGCCAACCCTCCAACCTCAGCTTCTTCATCTACGGGAAGAGAATAAATAATAGCATCTTCCTGAGGAAGTTCTCCTAAGGACTAAATTGATAATGGATGTGAAATTGGCACAGATTGAGTGCTCAGTAAGTGTTAGCTCCTGGGGCTATTCCTAGACTTTACCTATTAAGAGTGACCTATGATTATCAGAGCCCCGATAGTGCCAGAAGAAAGGCTCTAGCAGAAAGTCAGCATCCTGCTTGGCACATCTTTATGATACATATAATTTGATGTTTGATAGATATATCAAAAGTGATCTTTGTCTTTTTTCTTTGTTTTGAAAAAGAAAGACAAGCAAAGCTATGCCCCAGTTTTCTCCCTAGGAAAAAGGTAAACCCTTTACAGAGCTATTGGGATAATCAGACTGCATGTGAAACATACACCTGGTGTCCAGCCCTGTGCCTGGCACAAAGGACGGGGTCTCAGTTCAACGTGAGCCTGGACTTGGGAGGCTTGTAAGTTTACCTGCTAACCTGCCAGATGGCTACACCCGCCTATCCCCGCTCCAACCTGGCCTCAAAGGCCGTACCTTGAGTGTGGCTCCCAGCGAGCGCAGCCCGGTGGAGTGGCGCGCCAACTTGAGTACGCGGAAGATGCGCATGAGGCGGAACACCTGCACCACCTTGCCCAGGTGGCCGAGCTCCTTGCCGCCCGTGCCGCCCTGGTCGCCCAGTGCCACACCAGCCAGCAGCGTGAGATAGAAGGGCAGCACAGACACAATGTCGATGAGGTTGAGCGGGTGGCAGAAGAAGTTGCGCGTACTGGGCGCCAGCAGGAGGCGCGACGACACCTCAAAGCTGAACCAGGCGATGCAGAAGTACTCGAGGCGTCGCAGCACTGGGTCGTCGCGCACGCCTTCCGGGCTGCGGCCCGCAGCCACCGCAGCCACGGCGGCCGCCGCCTCGCGGGCCTGGTACTCGGGCAGGCTGTGGATGCACATGGCGGCGATGGAGGCGAGCACCACGCTGATGGAGACGCAGCTGAAGAGCTTGCTCGGCAGCGAGTAGCCCGGGTTCTCCATGGTCAGCCAGAGGCGGCGGCGCAGGCGGCCACAGCGCGCCGCGCCATAGCGCGCCAGCTCTCGCTGCACGTCGGAGATCTCGTCGGGGCATGGGTCCACGCTGCTCGGCGTGTCGCTGTCCTCGTCCCAGGCGCGCGGCTGGGTCAGCCGCCTCTCCAGGTAGCGCGCGCGGCAGCACGCGGCCAGCGCGTTCTCGCCGAGGCCCCAGTAGTCGGCCTCCTGGCCAAAGGCGAAGACGCACAGCTCGTCGAGCACGTGCAAGTGGCCGGTGCGGTAGAAGTGCAGCAGGCCCAGGAAAAAGCCCGGGTGCCGGTCGAAGTAGAATTCGTGCGCCGCCGCGTCGTAGTCGTCGCACAGGCGTCGCGCCTGCTCCTCCGACGCCGCGGCCTGCAGGCGGCCCAGCCGCGTGCCCGGGAAGCGCGCCAGGGCTCGCGCGCTCAGCAGCCGCCGCACGCCACCCACGTTCACGCGCAGCGCCTCGTCGCTTTGCCGCCAGCGGATCCCAGTGTCAGGGCTCGGGCACTCGCTCACCAAGGCTTCAGTGCTCCTCCCTGCGGACACCAGAAGGGCGCGCTGAGGAGTTCCTGGGCTTCCCTTCCAGGAAGACCAGGTTAAAATCCCCTCCTCCATCCAACCAGCCAAGGGGTGTTGGAGACTCTGTGTGAAGCATCTGGTATGCAGGAGGCGCTCAGTAGGTGGCAGGTGCCCTCTGGACTCAGAGTCAGGCCTGGCTTTGACTATCCTTCATCCCCATCATTTGACTTCGGTCAAATCACTGACCCACCCCACCCCCATTTCATTTTTCTCCTTTGGAAAATAAATGCTTAGATCTACCTGGAAGGATAGGAAAGCAATGGAATCGCAGGATGTCCTGGCACCTAGTGGGTGCTCAATAGGATGTCTCCTTTTCCAGGACAAACTTGGATTTATTTACAGCAAAGTTCTACTGTGGGATCTGGGGCCCTCCAGCCCTCTGAACCTGTTTCTTCTGCAAAATGAGGATAGTAACACTTACCTCCTAGGGGTGTTGGGAGCACCACTTTAGACCGGAGGCTCTCATAGCGTGTTCCCCGGACCAGCAGCATCAGCATTACCTGGGAATTCGTCAAAGATGCAAATTCTCAGCCTGTCATCGATTTACTGAATCGGGAACTCTAAGGCTGGGGTCTAGCAGTCTGTGTTCTAACAAGATTGGAAAGGGATTCAGATACACGGTCAAGTTTGAGATCTCCTGCTTTCGCTTATGTAAAACATCTGTAGAGTCAGCCAGACATGACCTTGAACCTTGGCTCTCTGTGTCACCTTAGGCAAGTCACATCACCTCTCTGAGCCTCTGTGAAATGGAGATAAAAATACTCACCTCAAAGTGTGGTTATGAAGATAAAATGACCTAATGTCTTTCTTGGGCTTGGCTAACAGAAGGAATTTAATAAATTATTCACTGGTGTCACTATCTTCTGGAGTCAGGCAAACCTGGGTTTATCTCCATCCCTGATGCACCTGGGGGCTTGAGGAAGCTATTTATCCTCCAGGTCTCAATTTACTGCACATCGTAGACAATAGCACCTACCTCCGGGGATGACTGGAGGATGAAGGTAGATTATAGAAAGTGCTTAGCCTTAGTGGATACTCAGGGAGGATTTAGGTTCTTCTACCACCCCCTGACTCCTGGCTCTGCTGGAATTGGAGGCTAGTGACACCTCCTCACCACTGGCAATCTCATTTGCATTGTGGGTTCAGTAATGCCTAGACTAGGGATTAAGTGTGTGTAAAGCACCTGGGCTTGGCGTTAAATGAATTTGGGGTTCCACCCTTAGCTCTGTTACTATTAGCTCTGTGACCTCAGGCCAGTCTCCTTCCCACTCTGGGCTTTAGCTCTTTTACCTCTAGAATGGGGGTAATGTTGCTTTGGATGAATCATTATTGTGGTATCTGTTCAAAGCCCTGGGTAAACAGTAGATGCTCAATAAATGTTAATCCCGTGTACTACCCTCTGGTCGGACCTGAGTCTGCCACTTACTAGCTGCTGACCTTGAGTGCATTCGTTGCCCTCTCTGGGCTTGTTTCCCTATCTGTGGAACCGAGTAGCATCATACTTTCCAGGAGAGGCTCAGAGGATTAAATGATGCAAGATGTTGATTGCCAGCATGGTCCCTGGCACATAATCAATGCACAATAAACATGTGTGATGTAGCTCCACTCCCACCTCCACTTGGATCTCCACCTGCATTTGGCATCAACAAATGAAATTTCTAATCCAGTTCCATCACCCATTAGAAGCATAATATTGGACAAATCCCTTTGTCCATCTGGAACTCACTTTCCTGCTCTGTGAAATGGGATGATTAATTCAACAAACATTTTCTGACAAGAACCTGAAGATCAGTAAGAAAGATTAAGTGACTTGTTCAAAATCACCCAGCTAGTCCATGGCACAGCTAAGGTTGGACAGCAGGTTTTTTTCATTTCATTCTCTCTCCACACACTTATTTTGAGCACCTCCTATCTGCTAGTCACTTCTCTGGGCTCCATGCACACCTCACTTGGTTTAATCTCTACACCGACCCTGCCAGGGAGGTTTTCTAATCCCATTTTACAGATGAGTAAACTGGACCAGCCAGGGTCTCCAAAGCGCGGCCACCCCACACTGCTTCCTCCTTGCGGGGTGGGAGGTCTCTTAGAGGGGGTAAGAGCACCAGGAACCCCAGGCAGCCCCGCCTCCCACTCTGGCTGCCCCGGACCATCCCGGAGCCACGTCCCTCCCCAGAGGAGGCCCCTTACCTGTCGTGGCACCTCCCGGGCGCCTCCTGTGTCTGTCCCAAAGTCACCGAGGCTGGGGGCCGCTGGCTATACTCCGTCTCGCCGCTGTCCCGCCGGCCCCGCAGAGCTTCCTACTGCAGGCGGCCCCGCTGCCCTCTCCTTCCTTCTTCCTTGCCTAGTCCCCCGCGGCTGAAGGCCGCATCGATCGCTGCCGGAGGAGGGAGTGAGGCCGCTGGCGGCTGGAGGCGGCGGTTTCTATTCCTGACTCGGTTGGGGGGTGGTGGTGTCAGGAGACTGGGCCTACCTGCAGGGGCATCCTCCGGAGTTACGGGGCCGGGAAGGAGGGGTCATTGAGGGCATGAGGATTCCCCCTAGAGAGGGATTTCAGCAGAAGCTTCTCTGGCAAAGGAACGACAGTAATCATGATTTGCTTAATTGAGTGTTTAGTATGTGCCAGGGTACTTCAGCTGCTGTAAGTGATTGATCTCAGCTATTCCTGGCACACTCTTGACAGGGCCAGGATCTTATGTCTCCCATTTTAGGGGTGAGCTCCAGTCACTTCCTCACACCGTAGGCAACTGAGTTAGGGAGCTGTAGAAGGTGGCCTCATCTCCCTTGGAGTCCCAGGTTCTCCTTAGGTGAGCTGTGAAACTTGAAACCATCATTTTACCCCTGAGGCGCAGTGCCCTTACCGGCCCATGGGCTCCTGATTCCAACCTGCCAAGTGGGTTGTGAGGGCAAAGAACATGTGCCAAAGAGCTTTGTAGAGGTTGTGAAGTCCCCACACATGTACCTATTGTGTGGCTGCTGTGTGCCTGGTTGGGGAGAGGTTACTGGAGACTAGGGCCTGGATATGAGCCTTTGCAAATATTGTTATTAACAATAATGATAATTACCAACATTTATTGAGTACTTACCTTGGGTCAAACGTATTTCTCAATCTCACTCAAACTGCAAATTTATCTGTTCAGTAAGTGCTACTATTATTCCTATCTCACAGATAAGAACTGCTTTGAGAGGTGTGGTGACTTGCCGGAGGTCCCATGGCTGACTTCTGAGTCCTCTAGGCCAGCACTGTCCAACACCTTTAATGTGAGCCACATATATTATTTTATTTTTTATTTTTTGAGATACAGTCTCACTCTGTTGCCCAGGCTGGAGTGCAGTGGCACTATCTTGGCTCACTGCGTCCTCCGCCTCCCGGGTTCAAGCGATTCTTCTGCCTCAGCCTCCTGAGTAGCTGGGACTACAGGCATGCACCACCACGCCAGGCTAATTTTTGTATTTTTAGTAGAGAGGGCGTTTTGCCATGTTGGCCAGGCAGGTCTTGAACTCCTGGCCTCAAATGATCCAACTGCCTCGGCCTCCCAAAATGCTGGGATTACAGGCATGAGCCACTGCACCCGACCCACATATATCCTTTTAAATTTCTGATTGCAACATTTTAAAGAGTAAAAAACAGGTGAAATTACAGTTACCCCTTGAACAGTGGGGCTTAGGGAAACCACTCCTCCATGCCTAGAAAATTAGAATGTAACTTTTGACTCCCCTGAAACTTAACGAGTAATACCCTACTGTTCGCCAGAAACCTTACCTATAACATAAACAGCCGATTAACACATAAATAGTATCTACATATATCTTAGGTATTCACGACACAGCTAACTTTTTCTTCAGGCTTTTGATAATTCTAGGCTACATGGTTCATCTGTAAGTTTTTTCAAATTGTCACAAATCTCCAAAAATTTTGCAACGTATTTGTTGGAAAAAAATCTGCAAATAAGTGGACAGTAGCAGTTCAAACCTGTGTTGTTTCAGGATCAACTGTATTTTTAGTAATATCTTTTATTAAATCTAAAATATTATGATTTCAACATTGGAATCAGTAAAGAAATTATTGAGATATTTTACATTTTCTTTTTTTTTGTACTAAGTCTCTAAAATCCAGTGTACTGATTTTTCTTATTGTTACACAACAAATTACCACAATTTAGTAGCTTAAAACAATACAAATGTATGATCTCATGGCTCCTATAGGTCAGAAGTCTGGGCATGGCCTTACTGGACCCTCGGGGTCTCACCAGGTTGAAGCCAAGGTGTTGGCCAGGGTTGAGGTTCTCATGTGAGCTTCAGAGTTTTCTTCCAAGCTCACAGATTGTTGGCAGAATTCATTTCCTTGTGGTTATAGGACTGAGGTCTCTCTTTTCCTGCTAGCTGTCCACTGGTGATCAATCTCAGATTCTAGAAGCTGCCTACAGTTCCTGCCCCATAGGCAGTTCATAGCATGAATGCTTGCTTTCTTTTAGGCACATGAGAGTGCTGAATTCCTCTCCTGTAAGCAGTCAGAGAAATATCTCTGACTTTAAAACTCTCACCTGATTAGGCCAGGCCCACCCAGGGCAATCTCCCTCCTGCCATATAACACACATTCATGGGCTCCACCTACACTTAAACAGGAGGAGATTATACAGGGATGAGGATCATTGAGGAGGGGTCATCTGAATTCTGCCTTCCATATATAAATCCAGTATACTCACTTATTTTATTTTATTTTTTAGTTTTTGAGAGAGATTTTTTGAGATTCACCTATAGCAAATCTCAGTTTGGACTAGTCACATTTTCTGTGCTCAGGAGCCACACATGGCTCGTGGCTGCCATATTAGACAGCACAGCTCTAGGCTGGGCCACTTCAGTTTTTCCCTCGAAAGAAGAAGTTAGAGGAAGAAGCTGCTTAGTGAGCATCTTGCCCAATTCCCTCATTTGACCAACAGGGAAACTGAGGCAGATTTGCCGAGAAGCAGGTCTTCTATTTCCTGGCATAAGAGTTTGTCTGCAGCCTTCGCTGCCCCTTAGGACTCAGGAGATTTCCCTGGCATAAGAGTTTGTCTGCACCCTTCGCTGCCCCTTAGGACTCAGGAGTTTTCCCTGGAGCTGCAGAGACAACTTTCCAAAACTGAGAAAAGACAGACCTATTTCCCAAGGGCAGAAGAGAATGAAACCAGGATCTGGTTTCATCCCCAGATTACACAGTGAGAGGTAAATGAAGTTTTGGTGGAATTTGTGAGCCACAAGAGTGGGAAGGTGGGCATTATGGGTGGGAAGGATGGGGTATCCCTGTCCTTCATGTATCATGGATGGGCTGTCCCCCAAATTCTCCCCCAGTCCCTGGCCAGTTTTAGCCATTTGAATCCGTGCAGTTTTACCTTCAGAGTAAGCTTGATGTTGCAGAAAATACGTAAGTGTTTGGAATTAAGTAGACCTGGATGTGACGGGCACCTTCTAAGATGTCTCCCAGTGATGTCGGCCTCCTGGTGTTCATGCCCTTGTGCAATCCCCTCCCCTTGTGTGTGGACAGGTCTTACTGATTTGCTTCTAATGAACAGAATATAGCAAAAGTGATGGGATGTCACTTCTCTGATTAGGTTACTTAAGGTTGTGACTTCCAGCTGGCTTTGATGAAGCAAATCGCCAGGCGGGAAAGGTAAGGAAATGAGGGTGACTTCCAGCCAACGACCAGCCAGGAGCTGTGGTATTCAGTCCATTAAGTCCTCAAGGAACTGACATTCTGCCAACAACCCTGTGAATTTGAAAGTGGATCTTTCTCTAATTGAGGCTCAGATGAGACTCCCACCATGGCCGACCCCTCGAGTGCAGTCTCGTGAAGCAGAGAAACTGAAACAAAAGACCCAGTTAAGCTGTACCCGGGTTCGTGACCCATAGCAACCGTGAGATAATAAATGTGTGTTGCTTTAAGCTGCTGCATTTGTGAAACCTTGTTACACAGCAATAGATAATGAATACACTGGGTTTGAATCCTGCCTTTGCCACTAAACTGCTGTGTGACCTTGGGCCAAGCACTTCTCTCGGATCCTTATCTTCTTCATCGATAAAATGGGAACCACACTCACCTTTCAGGATTGAGATGAGGATCAGCACATGCTCTTCCCTCTTCATGAACAACTCTTCCTGCCCTTTCTTTGCCCTGCATATCAGTTAAAATTTAACTTCGCTGCAGGAACAGAAACAGAATTACAGTGACTTCACTAGAAAAGAGTTTACTTTTTTTTTTTTGGCAGGCCAGGGTAGGTGCAGCTGCTCATGAATAGCCCTGGAGACCCAGGCTCCTTGTCACTTCCTCCTCCACCGTTCTTATGTGACTCATTCGTGCCCACAGCTCCTCTGGGATCCTTTACCACTTCTGTGCACAGAGACTCCTGGTATGTTTTTCCTCCTGACAGCTGGTACCTTGGGCTTTCCTGAGGCTGCCAGAGCCTGCTATGGCTCCACTCAGGGAGAACCTGAAGTACCTGAGAATGTATGTGCTCCACGTATGCTTGTTTCTAGAACTGCCCTGTGGGACTTCACTGGATTTCACATCATCACTGGCTTCTCTTCATGGTGAACTTCTGTACTCCTATAGCCATTTTTCCTGAAAACATTTCCGAAGCGTCACTGTCATATGATTCTTCATCTCAAGATTTATTTTGGGGGAACCCAACTAAGACAATCCTCAAGGACACCAGATGGCTGTTCTAGTGGCAGCAGCCATGTTCCAGGAAGGACACAGGGTAAATGGATGACAGACAAAAGGCCAAGTCCATCTCCTTAGTTAGGAAAACTATAGCTTGCCAAGAAGCCCCTCCTAACAGATTTCCCTTGCTTCTGATTGGCCAGTCTTGGGTCACACGATCATTGTTTGGTGCAAGGGAGCCTGGAGAGGAAACGTATTTTTAAAATTTTAATTTACCTTTAAAATTGAAATATACCGTTCCCGTGGTAAAGTGCACAAATGTTAAGTTACAGCTGAATGATTTTTTTTTTTTTTTTTTTTTTTTACAAATGTATGTATCCATTGTGACTACCACCCTGGTCAAAATATGGAATGTCACCGGCACTCCAAGAGCCTGGGGGTGGGGCGGGGCAAGTATTTCTAACTGGGGACATTGCTATTGGTAAGGAAGAAGGGGAGAATGGATAATTAGAAGTGTTCTACCTGGCTAGCTCCTGCTAAAACTCAAGGTCTTGACCTGGATATCATCTTCAGGAAGACTTGCCTGGTTTCTAGGCTGAGTTAGATCTCTGCCGGCCTCCCAGGCCTCTCCAGTTTGGTATATGTCATGCAACTCTCTAGCTAGGGCTTTGTCTCATCCATTAGTGCATGAGTTCTGCAAAGCACAGCCTAGAGCCTATATTAAGTGCTCAGCAAACATTTATTGAATGAGTGAGGGAGGAAAGCAAGGTTAGAGTCTGTAAAAAGAACCAACCTCCTCGGAGACTTTTCAGAAAGCCGGTGGAGACAGGCAGTAGAGATAGAGCTGATTGGGTTGGAGCTGAACTTGGAGCTGGCACTGCATAGACCAACTCACAGAACTGCTGGAACAGGGAGTGAGTTAGCCAGGAAGCTGAGAAGGGAATCTAGAATGGGCTGTATAGATGCTGCTACCTAAAGCCAGAGAAGCCATAGTCTGTGACCTGTCACCTCCTGCCATTCCAAGGACCTAGCTCAGAACTCAGAGCTCCAGGATAGTCACAGGGCTCTTGGCAGCCAAGTCTTAACTGGCTTACCTGGGAGCTTCCTGCTGTGACCCCCTAATTTTCCTCCTGATGCCTTTGAGGAAAGAAACCTAGGGCAATACGCTGTGTATCAACAGGCTTGGGCTCCAGTTGTCTAGAATTAAGTCTGGTCACTTAACTTTTTTGTGTCTTTGTGATCTTCATTTTTCAGATGTGGACACTGAATCTTCAGGTAGGAGGAGTCTTAAGTGGGAGGAATCTTCAAAGACCGATTATAATTAATTAGTACAGTCAATACGGACGTAAAGTTTATGGTTAGACTCCTTGGGGTTGAATCCCAGCTCTAGTACTTACAAGTTGGACAACTTTGGCCAAATTAACCTCTTGGTGTTTCAGTTTCCTCATGTGTGAAATGGGGAAAAGTAATGAAGCCTACCCGATAAGGATATGAGGATTTAATGAGATTATACAAGATTATACATGTAAAGTGATTAAAATGATACCTGGTGCATGGCACATGATCTGTAATTGTTGGCTGTTGCTGCCTTGATTACTCTCAAGGGAGGAATATGGTGTGGTTTAATCCTGGCTACATCATTTCTCAGCTGGAGGTCTTGGGCAAGTCACTTATCTCATAGCCACTGTTTCTTCACTGTCAAATGGGAATAGCCTTTCTCAGGGTTATGGGTTGGATGAATGAAACGATGTTTAAAAGTGGGAGATCTACAGTAGACATTCATTACAGACTAATAACCAGAATCTGAACTAGTTAAGCTCTTACTGTGATGAATCTGTGACAAACAACCCCTGAATCTCTGTGTCTTCTTACCACAGAGATTTATTTCTCTTTGGCAAGTTTGAGGCTTGGCTGGTCTGACTCAGCTTCAGGCTTGCCTCAGGTGTCTCTCCAGCAAGACAAGTGGCTTCAGGCAAGCTCTTCTCATGGCAGAGGGCAGAAGCTTCAAGAAGGGTGGAGGCCAGGTGCGGTGGCTCACACCTGTAATCCCAGCACTTTGGGAGGCTGAGGCGGGCAGATTGCCTGAGGTCAGGAATTCAAGACCAGTTGGGCCAACATGGTGAAACTCCATCTCTGCTAAAAATGTAAAAATTAGCCTGGTGTGGTAGCAGATGCCTGTAATCCCAGCTACTTGGGAGGCTGAGGCAGGAGGATCACTTGAACTCAGGAGGTGGAGGTTGCAGTGAGCCAAGATCGTGCCGCTGCACTCCAGCCTGGGCAACAAGAGTAAAACTCCATCTCAAAAAAAAAAAAAAGAAGAATGGTGGTATTTTTCTTTAAACAGGCTACACTGTCACTGCCACCCACATCCCGTTAGCTAAAACAGGTCTCCTCGCCAAGCCCAAATCACTGGGGCAGGATGTACACTCTCCCTGAGGGAAGCCACTGTAAGCATGGGGTGGGGAGGGGAAAGGGAAAATTGTAGGCAAATAATCCAATCTACCATATTATCTGTGTTAACTATATGAAGTTATATGTAGATGGGGAAACTGAGGCCTAGAAAGAGGAAGAGAAATATCTAAGGTTGCTCGGAGTCAGTGACTCCCAGACAGTTCTCCTTCCCCTCTCCAAGACCTCATTCTATATCCATGTAGTTAGCATCTGGCACTTTTCAGTCAATGGTTCAAGCATCTGAATCCCATGGGAAGGACAAGGAGGGTGAGGAAGTAGAATTCCTTCCATCTTCCAATAGGGCGAACAGAAGCCCAGAGTGCAGAAGGATGCACCTGTCATCACACTGCAAGGCCAAGAGAACAGGGAAAGAAGATCAAGGATTCCCAAGTTGACCTCCACAGTGGACCGCCCAGTCCCTCAGTCTTGTGCTGGATACAAGAGGCCCAGCAGATAGAGCAGGGAATTTGCCACCTCCTTCCTAGGAGGAAAGTGGGAGAGTCAGGAACCCAGCTGTCTGGGTCCAGGGATGTCCCTTGGGATGGCTGTCATTCCCTCATTGACCCCTTCTCCCTGCAAGAAACACTCATTAAACCCTGACTGCATACTAGACCCAGGAGAAATTGAAGTGAGTGAGGTAGAGAGAGGCCCACCATAATAATGACATCCTGACTACTTGAGCAAAATTTCCCCAAATTTGGGGCAATTTGAAGTGATCTTAGTATGTACCTGGATGCAGTGTCACATAACGTGAACTCCTGAAGTGAGAAAGTCATTCCCTTCTCAAGCCTTCTGATTTCCCCAGGGAGAAAGGCTCAGCTTAGAGGTTTGCATCTTTAACCCTTTAAATCTTCATTGATTAAAACATAGACTGGCCATGTGCGGTGGCTCACATATGTAATCCCGGCATTTTGGGAGGCTGAGGCAAGCGGATCACTTGAGGCCAGGAGCTTGAGACCAGCCTGGCCAACACAGCGAAAACCTGTCTCTACTAAAAATACAAAAATTAGCCAGGCATGGTGGCGGGCACCTGTAGTCTCAACTACTCAGAAGGCTGAGGCAGAAAAATTGCTTGAACCGGGGAGACGGAGGTTGCAGTGAACCAAGATTGCACCACTGCACTCCAGCCTGGGCAAGAGAACGAGACTCTGTCTCAAAAAACAAAAAACACAGGCTGAGTACAGGCTTCAGGCTCAGTCTTGGCAGGTGGCTGTTGCTAGCTAGAGTTTAATAACACTATTTAATATCATTTAATCTGACATGATTTACTTTAATGGAACTGAGCTGTTTCCATTGTATTTGTTTTCGTAATTCCATTTGTGGCAATTGATCTCATTTATCTCATTTATAGTAGTGATATCAATTTTCTTTTAAAATGAATTTGTTTATACACAAAAGTGAGTCATTTAAAGAAAACATTAAGTAAATGGTGGCACAGGCAGCGTGGAGCCCATCGTGGTGCTATTTTGTAGTTATGGTGAAAATCATGAAAGAGGTGAATGACTGATGTTTGGAAAACTCTGCTAGAATATTCATTCTGGGTGGTTGGGTTGCCTGAGGGAGAGGTCAGGGTCTGCCTGAATTGGGCTTTCTTGGTGGAGGAAGCAGCACGTACGGATTGGTGTGAACGTGTTAGGAAGGGTGGGAAGCTCGTATGGCAGTGGTGCAGGGTGCTGGCGTGATACAGAGGCCTTCCTCCGAGGTCAGGCTATGGACTTTGACCCCCGGGGGAGAATCCAGGGGCAGATGCGTTGCAGGGAAGTGACAGCAGGTCAGTGTTTATCAGAAGGCTGGAACCACCGCTAGTAGAGATAGTGCTGTCCGGCGGGCAGGGCCCCAGGCCTCCCATCGTGAACTCTTTCCGTTGGTCCCCAGCTTAGGTGCAGAGCCACGGATCCTAAATCAGAATTAGTCTGAGGAGGGAGAAAGAAAGGGTTAATGCCTTCCCATAACAGGGCTCTGGTTTCTGGCCTTGGTCTCCCATCCATGCCCGACCAGCGCAGCTCTGGTTGCCACCAAGGCTGGACTCCTCCGCCCCCTTCAAAAGGGCAAACGGAAGCCTGGAGCAGTTTAGGCTGTTGTCCAGGTGCCACAGCAAGCTCAAGAAGAGAACCAAGGACTTCCAGGTTCTCTGTTAGCCTAGCAGGACTCCCCCAGCCCCTATCCAATTCCCCAATCCTAGCCACGGGAGGCCCTGACTTCTGGGGAGGCATGCTGTTAAGCTTGCAGCAGTGAAGAAAGTATTAGAGCTGGGGCTCGGAGAGGGAAGGCACCTGCCCCGGGTGCCCAGGAGCCACACCTCTGGCAGGATCTCGGCAGTCCCGGCCACAGGCGCTGTGGCAGCATCGCTTTTTGCCCGAGCAGTCTGAGTCCTTGTGACACAGGTGGTTCATGGGGCTGAGGCAGCGCAGTTGGTCCTGTGGGCAGCTGCCCGGCTTCACTGCAACACAGGGAACTGGGTGAGCTCTGCCTGTGCCCACTGGCCCTGGAGCTTGGGGCTTGGGTGGTCAGCAAGGTAGACAGGGGCATTTACCAGAGACCCTGGGGACGCACTGGCGGAAGCAAGCTCTGTAGCAGCACTTCCTGGTCAAGGGACACTGGCTGTCTTCCACGCACTGGTCAGGCACTGATAGGAGGCACGGCCCATCATCTGCTGGGCAGCCTCCCCATTTCTCTGTAAGAGAATCTCCCAATATTGCAGCTGGAGGAAGCTCACGGTTATGTAATAAGCACTCACCTGGGAATGACAAGATCTGAATTCTCCATCCCTTGCTTCTTGCCTGTCCTCTGGCTAGTTTTCTTGTTGTTGTTGTTGTTTGTTTGTTTCTAATGACTCCAAGCCTCAGTTTTCTGGCTGTGAAATGGGAAGCTGGGCTAGTTTGAGACTCAGATGGCACAAATGATAGGGGAAAATGAAGCCCAACATCTCCACTGTGGCCAATAAGGCCATGCCTGGTCTGGGCCCTGCCCATCTCTCTAGCCCCATCCTCTACTGCCCTTCCACTCAGTGGCTCCAGATCTGCTCCAAGCCAGCTCTCTTTGCAGCGTTCTGGCTCTGGCTGCATCCTTTGCCTGGTGCACTTCTCCTGTACTCCCTTTGCCTGGTCGGCTCATTAGGACTCAGCAGATACATCACATCCTCAGAAGACTCTACTTCTCTGACCCCACATTAACTAGGTCAGCTCCCCCCCAGCCCCCAACACACACACACACTCAGTTCTTTCCTCCAGAGTTTGTGACGCTGCATCTGTTTGTCTGTGTCTCTCACTTGGCTGGAGGTTATGAGAGCAGACACCCTGCTAGCTTTGCTCACCATTGGTCCATATCACAGCACTTGGTGCAAACAGTAGGGGCTCAGTGACTTGGAAAGAAAGGGTTTGGAAGTGAGGCCCAGCATCGCACATGCGTCAGCAGCGGCCAGCCTGGTGCACTGTCACAGCCACAGCTGGCCACGTCTGTACCGTTGCGTTCACCACTGTTGCAAATGGCATGGTTTCGAGGATCAGGCATTAACTCTATCTCTGAGGTGTTCTTCTGAATGGCTGTAGAGTGTTCTGTCCCAGAGCTTACCTAACCACTCTTCTTGCTGGGATTTTGGGCCATGTTCAGATTTCATGCATGAAGCTGGAAATCAGTATCTTCCTCCATGTAGAGGAGGAAATCAAGGCCTGAAAGGGGCAGTGACTTGCCCAGACCCACATGGGCTGGAGTTAGGACTCCCAGGGCCCGGCTCCCTCTGACCTCTGTGAGTCTCCATCCACCTTGAGCTGTAGACATGGAGCAGATCCCAGGCCTTCAGTTAAATCCAGCATCAGAGAAAATGTTCAAGAGCTCCGAGGGGCAGCTGGATCTGGTGACTTTATCTCTGTGTCCGCCACTGCCCCTCAGCCCCCTGCCTGGGTGCTGGCTGCACACGTAAGTAGGCCCTTTGCTCACATCCTACGTGCTCTAAGTCAACTTCAGCTGTCAGAGCGGGTTGGTTTAAATTGAATTGCTGCCCCCTGCTGGAGAAAGAAAGGCTTGGCCGGGGAGGGGGGAAAAGTGTGGGTTTGGGGTGATGGGAGTGATGTGAGGGCTCCTGGGAAACAGTCTGAGGTCAACGGTTTAGCCCTGAATTCACAAGTCCAAGCCAAAGGTGCTCGGGCCTCAAAGGGTGGGCCAGACGGAGCTGCCTGCACTCAAAGCCGGTGGAGCCAGGTGGGTCAGGCAGGGAGAGTTTCTGTACCCAGAGGCCTGGAGCTGAACCTTGGGGAATGGGCAGATAGGGAGAGGGCATGACAGCTGGCATTTCCAGTGGAAGAACTGTGATAGCTGCAATGTGGAGGTGGGGATAAAAGCCTGGCATGTGTAGAGCCAGTGTGAGGCTCTAGGTGGTCACACTCACTTTGTTTGCCTGCCTTTCCTAACAGTCCCTCCAAACCAGGTTCTTCACTCACAGATGTGTACATCGAGACAGTCACACACATGCGGATGCATCCACCATAGGTGTGTAGACTTAGAGAGCAAAAGAATTGTATCCAGACATGGTTAAATATATACACTTGTACACACGGATGATACACACACATAGTCAAATACACAAGCACATTTAGATCTAGACACACAATTAGCTACAGGCTTAACAATAGGAAATTGCAGATAGTCAACTGTTTTATCTACAAAAGTAGCAATTTTACATGGTTCAACTTAATACACACATATATACATACGGACATCCATCGGATAGTTATACATATGCAATATATTTATAAACACATATATAAACAGGCAGTCACATATGTACATATGAGCTGGAACATAATCACTGTAAATACACGAGCATACTGTCATGTACACATGCCTACCCGCATAGATACATACACAGACACTCAGACACACACAGTTGTGTATATAAATATATAGCATATGTGTGTGAACAGAGACATATATACGCATACACAGTCATATACACAGAATCATATGCACAGGGCTACACAGACACGTATATCTTCCCAATACCACATAACCGCTGACAGCATTTAATTAGGCACTTGCTGTTTATCAGGGACTATGCCAGGATCTTTGTATCAGAGACACCCAGACGTTTGAGTGAGAAGGGGCAGAATGGGGAGCTCTTATAAACAGAGGTGGCTGGGCTTCCACAGGCAACAAACTGAGACTTCCCTTCCCTTGGCCTCGTCACCTTCCTCCATTGTCTGAAATTCTACCAGCAGCCAGGCAGATGTCTCATGGGAGAGAAACGAGTGGGGACAAGGTATGGTAAACTGGGGGAGAGACAAGCGTGTCACACCTGCCCAGGCAGAGTGGCCTTGCGCAGGCTCAGTTTCTGCTGTGCCAGCTCTTTACCTCTGAGCAGCCAGGTTGAATATCGGGGTGTGCTCCCTAGGAACACAAGGACTCCCCCAAATCACCCACTTATGCTGTGCTTACTGTGTGCCAGGCCCTTATTCCTCGAGACACCACTCACTCCTGAGAGAGAGGCATAGGACCTCATTTTACATGGAGTAAGTCTTCAGACCTGTCCTGCTGCCTTCCAGGAGTGCCCCGTATGGAAGTCCTAATAAACTCACACACTTGCCGATCTGGCCTTATCCAAGTAATTCTTTGGTCTCTCGGCTCCTTCCTAGTTGGGGGTGCATTCTTCTGTCCAGTCCTGGGGTTTTGCTGTAACAGTTCGTAAGGTGAATCTTTCTGATTCCAAATACCTGCATTCAAATGCCACGTTTGGCACTAACTCAGAGTCAGTCTTTGACCTTGTTAAGGGCTTCCCTACTATGCCTCAGTTTTCCTCATCTGCAAAATGGGGATAAAAATAGTCCTGTCCTCACAGCATCACACTGAGGAGTTACGTGGTGATGGTGCATGAATCACAGCCAACACAGGGTCCAGCCTTGGAGCTCACCAGTGTACTTCCTTCCTCAGCCTGTCCCCATTACTGTCCCCTTTCTTAAAGGCAGGGCCAGGGTTGCACAGGTGAATGTAGGTTAGAGTGTTCCAGCCCCAGAAGAGGATGGAGGTGGAGGCCTCACCCAGAGCAGGAGTCACCTGTCTAGTCACTCAGCGGCCCTCCCTCACCTGTCAGCAGGCCAACCCCAGCCTTGTCAGGGGTGGGAATGGGGACAGCAGGTTGGGGGTGATGAGAGCTAGAGACAGAGCTTCTTCCCCACAAAGCCCAGATCCCAGAAACCACACCCTCTCCTCAATTCCCAAGTCCTTTCCACAGATGGGGCAGTGGACCCACCGACTCAGTCACACCACAGACCAGCAGGTGCAGACAGGGTCCCTCCCCACACCTGGAGGCACAGAGACACACATGGATACACATGGACAGGCACAAGCTCAGACGTGTGCATGCAGCCATTCTTAAGTGTACGTGTGCAGACAGAGCTTTGCACAGACAGGCAGGCACAAAGACGCAGACAGAGCTTTGCACAGACAGGCAGGCACAAAGACACACGTCTACACAGAGACAGGCACATGCATTCCCCGCCCCGCCACCCCCTGACATATAGACAGGCACAGACAAGCACTGGGAAACTGGCCGAAAAGACATTTACAGATACCAACACAGGCAGGTGGACACAAATGTACACAAATAAAAACACAGGCTTCTGAAAGCACTAAGAATCAGGCATCCACACATACACACACACACACACATGCACACACGCGCACACACCCCCCACAGGGAATGACCTGCCTTCTCCCAAACCCTTACTCTCCCTAGAGAAGTAGGGACAATCTGGTCCCCAGAGCAGAGGGATTTCCCGCACTCACCTCCCTTCTTCCTGCCAAAGACAGCAGGCAGCTGACTCCCCACAGCCAGGAGGGCCCCCAGGAGGAGGAGGCTCTGGATCCTCATGTTTCTGCTGCCGGTTCAGGGCCCAGGGCCCCCCAGATTAACACCTGCAGCCTCAGGGAAGCCAGAGAAACTTAGTCAGGAGAGGAAATAGAGGGGGTGTGGAGTGACACCATGCTTGCTTCATCTTGGCCCCACCCCTGCGGGCCGAGGCCTTAGTGCAAGGGATGCTGTCACAATTGCTGAAGACAGGGTGACGGCACATCCTGCATGTGGGGGACTCAGATCCAGTCTTGCCTGTATCGGTGACTTGGGCTGCGATCTTGGGCAAGTCTTGTCTCTCTCTGAGCCTCAGTTTTTTCATCTGTTTACTGGGCGAAGGTTGTTGAGTCAGATACTTGCTTTCCTGGCTCTCAAAGATGTTGAAACCCCAGCAATGTCTAGGCAGTAGATAGAGGTCAGCTTTGAATAGCAAAGGAGTGAGGGTTTGCAGAGTTCTGGATGCCTAGGAAGGGAGAAGGCGTTAGGGTTAGGCTAGAGTTTGCTGCCAAAGAAGGCTGGCCCAGGTTGGCATAATGAGTGAGGCCAGCCCTGGCTTCTCCTCTTGGTCCTGTGGGTGGGAGAAAGACCACCCCACCTTTGGTGAGATCACCAGTGGCTTCTGGTAGAACTACCCTCTTCCTGGGACTGGCTTGGCTGTTGAGGGTGAGGGAGCATGGCTTTTGGCTTGGCTAAGTTTGCTGGTCACAGCAGATGCATGGCCACTGGAAACTCTTCTCTGGCCCTAAGGGATCCTGAGCAAAAAAATGTCATCTCATCCAGGGACCCCCTCCTTAGATTTCTCCAACATCTCTAATGTTGGCTCCTGCATTTGGTAGAAGAGAGGGAGCTGAGACTTGGCATCGTAAGGGACATCCTAAACAGAAACGCCATTGAAGTACATTTTCTCAGCCTTTCCATTTGAAAGACTAGGAAATTGTGAGATAGAGATGAGAGGGAACTTGCCCAAGGACACACAGCTAATTCCTGACTAAGCTGGGACTTCCCACTGTGGCCTCCCTATCATCCTCATTTGGTTCCCGGGTTTTAAAAGCAAGTCAATACCTCATCTGATCCTGAGAAAGGAGGGTGATATTACAGGGCTTGTCTCACCCATTCCAATCCAGGACAGCCCTCACAGCAGGAAGTTCTTCCTTGGGTTTAGTATGAATCTCTCATGCTGTCTTCTAAGCTAGCAAGATAGGAGAGGCTCTGTCTTCTAGGATCTGATGTTACTTTTGGAATGCTAGCACCTCCTTGGAAGCTTTATCTTGGAGGAAAAATATATGAGCCCTTCCTTCCTCTCCTCCTCCTTTTCTTTCTTGTCTCTCTTTCTTTCTTTGTCTTCTCTTTCTTTCTTTCTTTCTTCTCTTTCTTTCTTTCTTTCTTCTTTCTTCTTTCTTTCCTCCACTACTCCTTCCCTCCTTCCCCTCTCTCTCCTCTCTCTATTTCATTCTTTCTTTCTATTCTTTTAGTCTTTCTTTCTTCTTTCCTTTCTTTCTTTCTTTCTTTCGTTTCCTTCTTTTTCTTCCTTCTTTCGTCCTCTTTCTTTCTATTCTTTCTCATCTCTTTCTTCACATTCCTCACCTTCACTTCCTTCCTTCCTCTTACTATTCATAGATCTCCTTCACCCTATTCCTTCCTTTCATTTCTCCTAAATTCTTCTTCTTCTCTTCTCTCTCTCTCTCTCTCTCCCCCCCCCCGCACACACTACAGAGATCAACTGCTCTGTTGTCCAGGCTGGAGTGCACAGTGCCATCATGGCTCACTGAACCCTTGACCTCCTGGACTCAAGTAGTCCTCCTGCCTCAGCGTCCTGAGTACCTGGGACTATAGGCATGCACCCCCATGTTCAGCCAGTTTTTATTTTTTGTAGAGATGGGAGTGTCTTCCTATGTTGTCCATGCTGGTCTCTAACTCTTGGACTCAAGTGATTTTACCACCTTAGCCTCCCAAAGTGCTGGGATTATAGGGGTGAGCCACTGTGCCCAGCCATGAAATGCTCTTTTTTCTTTTTTTTTTTTTTTTTTTTGAGACGGAGTCTCGCTCTGTCGCCCAGGCTGGAGTGTAGTGGCCGGATCTCAGCTCACTGCAAGCTCCGCCTCCCGGGTTCCCGCCATTCTCCTGCCTCAGCCTCCCGAGTAGCTGGGACTACAGGCGCCCGCCACCTCGCCCGGCTAGTTTTTTGTATTTTTTTTTTTAGTAGAGACGGGGTTTCACCGTGTTAGCCAGGATGGTCTCGATCTCCTGACCTCGTGATCCACCCGTCTCGGCCTCCCAAAGTGCTGGGATTACAGGCTTGAGCCACTTTTTTTGAGACGGAGTCTTGCTCTGTCATCCAGGTTGGAGTGCAATGGAGTGATCTCTGCTCATTGCAACCTCTACCTTCCGAGGTCTAGCAATTCTCTGCCTCAGCCTCCTGAGTAGCTAGGACCACAGGCGCCCGCCACCACACCTGGCTAATTTTTTGTATTTTTAGTAGAGACGGGGTTTCACCATGTTGGTCAGGCTGGTCTTGAACTCCTGAACTCAGGTGATCTACTAGCCTCGGCCTCCCAAAGTGTTCGGATTATAGGCATGAGCCACCATGCCTGGCCAATGCTTTTTTAATTAAAATTGTTTTGTAGACATTTTCCTGTGCTGTGAAATGTTCTGTAAACATCATGTTTTCTGATGGCTACATGCTATTTTGTTAGATCTATATGTCAAAACATCACTTCAGTAAAGTTTTTAGGGAAAAAAGATATGCCAAAATATACATAATCAGTATCCTATTATGAGGTTTCCAATTTCCCACTTTCATAAATAAAGCTGTGATAACAATCTTTTTGTGTACATTTTGGAGTCGCATCTCTGACTGTTTTCTTAAAGTAAATTTGTCAAAGTTAGAAATGCTAGGTCAAAAGGCATGGTCATGTTTCCAGGCTTTGGATATATCTGGGCAAATTAAATTTCAGAAAGGAAGTGAGTGAGTGTACAAGAGCCTCCAACTGCCCTGCGATAGACGTCTATTGTTTTGTCTGCCCACCGTCTCTTCCTTTGGTGGAATCATTGCTCCCTGACTCCTGTAATTCTGATTGGTTGCTGATCAGCAGGTATATCTCTTATCAAAACTGAAGGCACTCTATCCAGGTTACACCCACTGCACTCTTCCCCCACCCCTAACTTGTCCACTCCTCCATTAGAGTCTTGAACAGAGAAGCCAGTGCTCTAAACAGAACAGTCCAAAGCTCAGATGCTGTTGCTCACAGCCAAAGATCCTTAGTGGATATACTTACTACCTACAGGATATTAAAAAAATTAGTAAATAAAATATTTGCTAATGGAAACAATATTTCATTTTAATTTGCCTCCCTCTTAATATACGTGATGGTGAGCATTTCTTCATATTTGCATACTGACTGTATCCTTTTTCTGTGAATTGCGTGTTTTTGTATTTTGCTCATTTTTATTGGGAAGTTCTTTTATTTTTGCATTTTAAGAGCTGTTTATATATTAAGAATCTATTAACCTGTCATATACAAGGGGCAGTATGGTGAAGTAGTGAACAGATGTATATTGGAGTTAGGCAGACCTAGTGTTGAATCTTGGTGCCATAGGCTCTATCGGTGTGACATTAATTTTGTAAAACCCCTGTTTATTCTTGTATACCAGTAGAGATAGAGATAATCATATATATTTTATACGATGGTTCTGAGAACTGAATGAGATAAGCTCAATAAATACTTTAATGCTATATTGCAAATATTTGTTTCCTTGTTTTTGCTTAGTACCAAAGGATTAAATTTTGGGGTAATCAATCTTTTCATTCATATTTTCTCCTTTTATTTTTATGCTAAAAAGGCTTTGACTCTGATGTCAGATAAATATTCACTATATTTACTTGTTATTTTGTGATTTTCGAAATACATGCTAATTCTTCAATCTAGCTGAAGTTTGTCTTGGTGTAGAGCATGAAATAGGAAATATCTTTTTTTGTAAGTAATTAAGCAATTGTCCTATGATCATTTAGTGAATAATTTAAACTTTTGCCATTAAGAATTAAAACTTTATCAATAACTTAAGTCTTGTATGTAACAGGGGCTGTTTATGGGTTTTCTTTTCTTTTCTTTTTTTTTTTGAGAAGGATTCTCCCTCTGTTGCTCAGGCTGGAGTGCAGTGGCGCGATCTTGGCTCACTGCAACCTCCATCTCTCGGGTTCAAGCAATTCTCCTGCCTCAGCCTCCTGAGTAGCTGGGACTACAGGTGCGTGCCACCACATCCGACTAATTTTTGTATTTTTAGTAGAGACAGGGTTTCACCATGTTGGTCAAGCTGCTCTCGATCTCCTGACCTTGTGATCTACCCACCTCAGCCTCCCAAAGTGCTGGGATTACAGGCGTGAGCCACCGTGCCTGGCCCGTTCTTTTCTTATGACTGTTTATTCTTGTGCCAGCACAGGCGAGCATGTATTGTGGGTTCCTGACCACTGAAATAAAGAGAATATTGCAATAATATTTGGCTAGTTTTTATTTTTTTGTAGAGGCAGGGGTCTCCCTATGTTGCCCAGACTGGTCTCTAACTCCTGGACTCAAGTGATTCTCCCAGCTTGGCCTCCCAAAATGCTGGGATTAAAGTGAGCCACGTGGATTTTTTGGTTTTTCAGTGTATTTAAAAGTTATGTTTGCATTATAGTGTAGTCTATTAAGTGCACAATAGCATTTGTCTAAAATAAGTATACACCTTAATTTAAAAACACTTTATTGCTAAACTATGCTAATAATCATGTAAGCCTTCAGTGAGTCATAATCTTTCTGCTGGTGGAGGGTCTTACCTTGATGTTGAGGCTGCTGAATGATCAGGGTAGTCGTTGCTGAAGGATAGGTTGACTGTGGCAATTTTTAAAAATAAGACAACTATGAAGTTTGCTGCATCCATTAACTCTTCCTTTTTTCAACTTTTATTTTAGAATTAGGGGGTACATGTGCAGTTGTGATACAAAGGTATATTGTGAAAGATTTCTCTGTAGCATGCAATGCTGTTTGATAACATTTTATACACTGTACATCTTCTTTCAAAATCAGAGTCATGGCATAGTGCAGTGGCTCATGCCTATAATCCCAGAGATTTGGAAAGCCAAGGCAAGAGTATCACTGAGCCCAAGAGTTTGAGACCAGCCTGGGCAACATAGTGAGGCTCTACCTTTACAAAAAATTTAAAAATTAGCTGGATGGTGGTGCACGCCTGTAGTCCTACCCCCTCGGAAAGCTGAGGTAAGAGGATTGCTCGAGCTCAGGAGTTCAAGGTTACAGTAAGTTATGATCATGCCACTGCACTCCAGGCTGGGCAACAGAGCAAGACCCTGTCTCTGAAAACAACAACAACAAACAGTTGGAACCAATTCTCTCAAACCCTACTGCGTTATCGACTAAGTTTATGTAATATTTTAAATTCTTGGTTTTGTCATTTCAGCAGTGTTCACAGCATCTTTACTAGGAGTAGATTCTATCTCTCAAAACCACTTTCTTTGCCCACCCATAAGAGGCAACTCCTCATTCATTCAAGTTTTATCATAAGATTGTAGCAATTCAGTCACATCTTCAGTCTCCACTTCTAATTCTAGTTCTCTTGCTATTTCACCACATCTGCAGCGACGACTTCCTCAGCTGAAGTCTTGAACCCCTCAAAGTCATTCGTGAAGATTGAAATCAACTTCTTCCAAACTCCTATTCATGTTGATATTTTGACCTACTCCCATGAATCATGAATGTTCTTAATGGCAGTTAGACTGTGAGCCCTTTCCAGAAGATTTTCAGTTTACTTTGCCCAGATCCATCAGAGCAATCACCACCTGTGGCAGCTATAGCCTTACGAGATGAATTTCTTAAATAATAAAACTCAAAAGTTAAAATTACTCCTTGATCTGCAGAATAGATGTTGTGTTAGCAGGCATGAAAACATTAATCTTCTTGTACATCTCTATCAGAGCTCTTGGGCGATCAAATGCATTGTCAGTAAGTAGAAATATTTCAAAAGGAAAGTAAAAATCTTTTTTTTTTTTTTTTTTTGTGAGCAGTAGGTCTTAACAGTAGGCTTAAAATATTCAGTAAACTATGCCATAAACGGATGTGCTGTCATCCAGCTTGTGTTGTTGCATTTTTAGAGCATGGGCAGAATAGATTTAGCATAATTCCTAAAGTCTCTAGGATTTTTGGAATAGTAAATGAGTATTGGCTTTAACTTAAAGTCACCGACTACACTAGTCCCTAATAAGAGAGTCAGCCTGTCCTTTGAAGCTTTGAAGCCAGGCATTGACTTCTCTCTAGCTAAGAAAGTCTTAAATGGCCTCTTCTTCCAATAAAAGACTGTTTCATCTACATTGAAAATCCGTTGTGTAGTGTAGTCACCTTCATCAATTATCTTGCGTAGATCTTCTGGAGAACTTGCTGCAGCTTCTCCATCAGCACTTGCTTTACTTTACACTTTTGTGTTATGGAGATGGCTTCTTTCCTTAAATCTTGTGAACCGACCTCTGCTAACTTCAAACTTCTCTTATGCAGCTTCCTCACCTCTCAGCTTTCATAGAATTGAAAAAAGTTAGGGCCTTGCTCTGGATTAGGCTTTGGCTAAGGGGATGCTGTGGCTGTTTTGATTTTTTTATCCAAACCACTAAAATTTTCTCCATATTAGCAATAAATCTGTTTCACTCACCATTTTTGTGTTCGCTGAAGTCGCTATTTCAATTGCCTTCAATAACTTTTCCTTTGCATTTGCAAGTTGACTAACTGGTAAAAGAGGCCTAGCTTTGGACCTATCTTGGTTTTCAACATGTCTTCCTCACTAAGGTTAATCATTTCTAGCTTTTTTTAAATTTAAAGTTAGAGACGTGACTTTTCCTTTCACTTGAACACTTAAAAGCCACTGTAAGATGATTAATTGGCCTCATTTCAGCATTGTTGTGTTCCAAGGGAGAGAAACAGGGAATGGCCGGTTGGGGGAGAAATCAGAACATATACCACATTTATCGATCAAATTCACTGTCTTATATGGGCACAGTTTATTGCAACCTGAGACAATTAAAATAGTATCATCAAAGATCACTGACCACAGACCAACATAACAGATGTAATAATAATGAAAAAAATTGAAATATTGTGAGTATTACCAAAATGTGACACAAAGACACATAGTGAGCATGTGCTCTTGGAAATATGGGCTGATGTACTTGCTTGGTGCAGGGTTGCCACACACCTTCAACTTGTAAAAAATGCAATGACTGCAAAGCACAATAAAACAAGGTATGCTTGTATTGTGGTTGTAATTGTTGTAGCTCCATAATATGTTTTAGTGACTGGTGGTACCCATTACCCTTCATTAGTCTACATTTTCAATTTTCCAGGTTACAAGTATTTTATTGTTCCGTGTGAACCTAATGATCATTTTGTTAAGCTGCAAAAATAAACTCATTGTTTTTATCATAAAAAGTTTTCAAAAATGCACAAAAGAACAGCAAATACTTTTATGGAGCCTACATACCCATCATCCAGATTCAACAATGAGTCATTTTACAACAATTCCTTCATGCAAATCCCCACCCCTTTTTTGGCTGAAGTATTTTAAAGTAAATCCAACCCATCTTATATTTTACCTTTAAATACTCCAGTGTGCATCTCTAAAAACTAAGGACACTTTCTCACACAATCACAATACTACTGTCACACCTAAGAAAATTAACTGCAGTTTCTTAACATCATCTAACATTCTATTTGCATCCTGTTTTTCTTATTGTCTCAAAAATGACTGTATGGTTGTTGGTGCACACATTGCATTGGCTGTAATGTATCTGAAGTTTCTTTTAATCTAGAGCAATCCCTTCAATTCTTTTTTATCCTCCTTTCCTCCCTCCTCCTTCTTCTTCATGCTATTGATTTGTTGAACAAAACAGACAAATCGTTCTTTAGAATGTCCCATGTTGCTTCCCCGTGATGTCTTCCATCTTCTTTGTCCTTCATGTTTCCCATAGACAAACGCTAGCTGTAGAGGCTTGGTGAGGTTCATGCTCAACTGTCTTGGCAGGAGCCCTTCTTGAATGATGCTGTGTGCTTTGTGTTGCATCAGCTCAGGAGGAACAGAGGTCTGGCTTACCCATTTTTAGCATTGTGGAGACAGATTAATGTGTTTTAGGCATGTACCTGAATCCTCATGTTGTAAACTTGTGTTTCCCCTCTTACGAACTGTAAATATACCACGGGGTGATGAAATGGCGCCCTGTAGATATTCAGAAGCCATGGATGATCATTGCCTGAATCAATTATTTCATTAGGATTTGTGAAACCCAATGGGTTTTAATTTTAATTATATTTCAGGCATAAATTATGCTGACCAAGATGAACATTTTGTGGAAGCTTCCTGCTTGGGGAAGAGCATATCTTTTAAAAAACATTTATTTGTTTGTTTATTTATTTATTTATTTATACATATGGTAGAAAAGTTTAGTCTATTTATCCAGATCTTTTAAAATGTCATTTAATAAAGTTTTAGGGTTTTTTTTTTTCGTTGTTAGAAAATTTCTGTACATCTCTAGATATGTTTATTTGTAGGTATTTTATATTTTATTCACTTTGATAATGTTGAATTGGATTTTTTTAACTATTAGGTTATCTTAACTGGCTTGGGTTGCTATAACAAATTACCATAGACTCGGTGGATTGTAAACAGCAAATATTTATTGCAGTTCTGGAGGCTGGGAAGTCCAAGATCAAGGCACCAGCAGATTCAGCATCTAGTGGGGGCCAGTTTCTCATCTCATCTCATCTTCCTGGGGTCTGGACTTTCTGTGACTCTTCCCTCTGTTTAGGGAAAAGGACTTCAAGCTCGGGTTTTCTTTGCTGGGGTTCAGTATTGCTTCTTCCATATTCCAAGTCTCAGGACCCTCAGGGGCAGGTACTGGGTGAGAGTGACCCCCAGAGGTGGAAAGGACCCGGCATCATTTCTGAGGACACCTAGTGGAGGAGGAGCCTGGAGACTTGGCCTCCCATCCTGGCTCTGGGCATGGCCCTGACACGTCTTCATCCTTGTTTCCTCCTTTGTACAATGGAGATGTTCAGACTAGTTGGTCTCTGAGGGCCCTGCCATCTTTAGCCATCCCTCCCCAAACCAGCTAAAGAGACTAATTCCTCCGAAGCTTCATGGGCCAGATAGAGGCAGGGGAAGGCACAGCCCCAGCCCTGGGAGGCAGGTCTCCTTACCTTCTTCCAGTTTCTTCACAGGAATCACACACTTGAAGCCACAGTGCAGGTAACAACACTTCCTTTCCCCCAGACAGTCCTGGTCTGTGTGACACTGGGGAGGATCGGACTTGAAGCAGCGTACGTTGTCAGCTGGGCAAACCCCTGCTTTTTCTATACTTAGTGGAGGAAGCCACAAGGTGAGGTAAGAACTCCAGCCCCAGAGGGCCCCTCAGGACCTCTCCCCAGCCCAGCCCCACCCAGCTCCACCATGCCTGCTCACCCCCTTTAACTCCTTCCGCAGCAGCCACCAGGGTCACAAGAGCGAGAGACACCATGAGGACCAAGAAGCTGCTGGACCCCATGTTGCTGGGCAGGTGCTTGGCTGGGAGCTGGGCTGAGCCTGGCTTTATAGTGTCCCTGCTGGGCACGCCAGTGGGTGGAGCTGAAAGCTCAAAATGACAAGGGAGGCTGCACTTCCCAGCTCTATTTGGAAATGGACACTTTTGAGGAGGGACTTGGGGCTTTCCCTAAGGTCTCCTCACTGGAATAGATGAAGAAATCAAAGAGCGACCCTCGTTCTTCACACAAGGAGAAGAAATGGCCACCTGATTGACCATTAGGCACCACCAGGGCCAAACTGTCTTATGGAAGGAGGAAAGGAAGCACAGAAAGGGCATGAAATTACTCAAGTTCACACACGAGGCAGTGGCAGGGCCAGACTTCCTCAACCCCACCATGTTCTCTAACAGTCCCTGCTCATGCCTGATTCACCTGGGACCAAAATCTTCCCTCCTTCCTGTGTTGCCCCGGATTTGTTCTCAGTTCTCTCCTCACCCCAAGGAAGAATCTGAATGGCAGTGCTTAAAATGTCTGTCCTGAACATTCGCTCTCAGCCTTGCGTTCCAGCCCTGTGTGCTCCTGCCCCCACCAATCTCATGTGGCCTGGAGGAAAGCAGATTTTGGACCTGTCACCAGCTGTGTAACTTTGAAAGCAGCTTCACCTTCCTAAGCCTCCGTTCCCTCATTCATACAATGGGCATCATAATTATACTGTATCGCCTTCATAGGATTTGTTTTCCCTCCTTTGCCCCTGCATCCCCCCAAATTCCTGGATTTGGAAGAAGACATGTATGTGTATGTGTGTGTGTGTGTGTGTGTGTGTGCGCGTGTGTGTCTGAGACCAGACTTTTGGAGTCCTTTCTTCGAATGGGCACTAAAGAGAGGGGAATCCTTTCTGTTGGAAAAGTTGCAGATATGAGCCCAGAAACTCCGGAAATTTGGTCCCAGCCCTGGTGAGAGAGAAATTCTGAGAAGATAAATCTAAGTTGCTGATAAGAAGACATGAGAGATAGGCAGGGAGTAATTTTGAGGAAATCTAGTCCTTTACTAACCTTTTTCCTGAGATCAGCCCCACTCATACTTAGGGTTAGGTTACCACCCAATAAATTCACCTTTCTGGCTAAGCTGGTCTGAATTGGATTTCTGTCATTTACTAATAGGACCTCTGAGTAATGCAAAGATTTGGATTTGGTGCGTTCCACATACCAAAGTGTGGAAGGGACTGAGTTGGGGTTAAGTGGAGGCAGGGGAGGATCCCTGCATTCCTGGAAGTGAGCCAACTCCTTATTAGATGGTGAATCTTTGGTTATAATCTCACCAGTTGTATCCTTGAGCTCAGATCACTTGGATACCAGGGATGGAGTCTGGGAAGTTAATAAACAAATACTAGAATGTTGGAATATATTGGCTATTGTCTCCTCCAGCTTTTTATTATGAACTTTTTAAACATACAGAAAAATTGAAATATCAGAACAATGATAACTTGTATACCTACAACTGGATTTAACAATTATTAATATGTTGGGATATTTTAGAATACCTATAGCTACATTTGCTGAAATATTTGAAATGAAATCAAATACATTATGTTCCTATTTCCTAAATACATCAGCATGCGAATTCTAAGAATAAGGACTTTCTTCAATATAATCACAAAGCCATGATCCTATCTAAGATAATTAATAGTTTCTGCATGTCACCTCATAGCCAGTTCATATTCGTTTCTCCAGTTCTCCTCAAAATGTCGTTTGTAGTTGACTGTTGATGATACTTCCTTTAAAATTATTGTAAAATAAATCCTACATATAAAAGAATGTAATAAACTTTCTATACCTTTTGAAAAAGAATAATAAACACCTATGAACCTATCAATTTAGAATAGGACATTACCATCCCTACTTCAGAGGTAACCACTATCTTGAACTTTCTGTTAATCATCCTTATGTTTTCCTTTAAAGTTTTGCGCCCTTGCTGTGGCTTGCTTAATGGTGCATGTTGTTTAACTTTATGTAAACATAATTACAGCCTAAGTATTCTTTTGTGTTTTGCATGCTTTGCTCAACACTGTGTTTTTAAAAATATTGTGGTAAGAAATATATACTATAAGACATGACCTCTTAACTTTTTTTTTTTTTTTTTGAGATGGAGTCTCGCTCTGTCACCCAGGCTGGAGTGCAGTGGTGTGATCTCAGCTCACTGCAAGCTCCACCTCCCGGATTCATGCCATTCTCCTGCCTCAGCCTCCTGAGTAGTTGGGACTACAGGCACTCACCACCACGCCTGGCTAATTTTTTGTATTGTTAGTAGAGACGGGGTTTCACTGTGTTAGCCAGGATGGTCTCGATCTCCTGACCTCATAATGTGCCCGCCTCAGCCTCCCAAAGTGCTGGGATTACAGGTGTGAGCCACCATGCCCGGCCCCAAAATATTTTTAAGTGAATACTACCGTGTTGTTAATTATGGGCACAGTGTCATACAGCAGGTCTCTAGAAGTTTTCTGTCTTGCATGACTGAAACCTACTGAATAGCAACTCCCCATTTTCCCTCCCCCAGACCCTTGGAACCACCATTCTGTTTTCTGCTTCTATAAGTGACTACTTTAGACACTTCATAAAAGTGGAATCATGCAGTATTTGTCCTTTCGTAATTAGCTTATTTTGCTTAGCAGAATGTCCTTAAGGTTCACCCATGTTGCAGCATGCGACAGAATTTTCTTCTTTTTTATGGCTGAATAATATTCGATGGTATGCATATATATGTGTGTGTGTGTGTGTGTGTGTGTGTATATATATATAAAATCTTTTTTCCTTCCCCCATTTGTCTGTCAATGGGTCAATGCACATTTAGGTTTCCATTTCTTAGCTATTGTGAATATTGCAGCAATGAACTTGCAGGTGCGAATATCTCTTTGGGATCCTGATTCAAATTCTTTTGGATAATAACCCAGAAGTGGGATTGCTGAATCATGTGGTAGTTCTATTTTTAATTTTTTGAAGAACTTCCGTACTGTTTTCCTTAGTGGCTATACTCCTTTAAATCTCACTGACAGTGCAAGAGTTCCAATTTCTCCACATTCTCACCGGTACTTGTTTTCTTTTTCTTTTCTTTTTAAAATAATGGCCATCCTAACAGGTATGAGGTGATCTTATGGTTTTGATTTGCATTTTCCTGATTATTAGACATGTTGAGCATGTTTTCACATACCTGTTGGCCATTTGTATATCTTCTTTGGAGAAATGTCTGTTAAGTCTTATTCACCTTTAATTGGGTCTTTATATATATGTGTGTGTGTGTGTGTGTGTATATATATATATGCATATGCACACACATATATATAAGGAAAAAGAAAAGAAATATGTATTAGCATTGAAGAAGAGAAAAGCCATTGTTTGCAAATAATACAATAGTCCAATAGAAACACAAAAGAAACTACAGATATATCATGACAGTTAGACAATTTTTTCAAGATTAACTGACACAAAATCAATATATGAAAGTCAACTGCATTTCTATACACTAGAAATATTGGTTAGAAAAATGTAATACTTTAAAAGCAGTAACATGTAAAATATCTAGTAATAAAGGCAACCTGTGAGATGGGAAAAATATTTGCAAACTACATACCAGATAAGGGGTTAATTTTCAAAATATATAAAGAACTGCAACTCAATAGCAAAAATAAGTTTACGCACATACATATATACATAGCAAAAATATGTTTATATATTTGTATATATAAATACATTTAGGCTTACATTTAGGCTTACAATTAGGCTTACATTTAGGCTTACATTTAGGTTACATTTGTCTAGGAAGCGAGCCCCATAAGGAACTTCTCATAGTCTTATTATAAGAAGGTAAAATTGCAGGGGACAATGTTCCTGTTTTGCAGTAGTAAATTACCTTCTCAAAAGGTGGTTATTTTGTCCACAGGGGACTTTGGCAATGTCTGGAGACATATTTGGTTGTCACAACTGGGGCAGATGTGCTTCTGACATCCAGTGTCTAGAGACTGAGGTTGCTGCTAAATATCTAACAATGCACTGCACAGTTTTTCACAACGAACAATGATCTGTCTCCAAGTGCCAGTAGTATTGATGTTGAGAAACGCTGCTGTCCTGCCTCACTGACTCATAGCTGTGCGTGGCCTCAGAACACCTCAATGTAGGCTGAAGCGAGTAATGATGGGAGTGTCTGCTGGGAGTATCCCATGCTTAGGAGTGCTGATCCTTGGCTCACTGGTTTCACCCAGTAAAGGCATTCCTTAGCTCATGCCATGTGACCTTGTGGAATTCATCCCATGTTCTGCTGAATCAGGCAAATAAAGTTCCCTTTTAATTCTAGTTAGCTAAGAGTTTTTCTCATGAAAGGATGTTGAATTTTTATCAAATGCCTTTTTCCTCATCAATTGAGATATATCTATGGATTTTCTTTTCAACCTGTTATTTTGTGAATTACATTAACCGGATGTCACGTTCATTGTCTTTTTTGGGCATCATTTATTTATATGCTTCAAGAAAGTGGAAAGCCTTGAACCAAAATGGCCTGGCCTAAAACAGACAGAGAATATAAGGAAAGATATATTTCTAGTAAACATGGAATATACATTCCTGAAAATCGTTAGGTTACAGAATTTTGCTTGCTACAAATAATAGGGCTTCTAGAAAAAATAGAGTTGAAGTAGAACATTCAAAACTTGTGCAGTCTCATAAGTAATACATCAGACAAACAGAACCCACACCCAATAAAAACATGGCCACAGTTTTAAACATCTTCAGTTCCTAATAAAGACATTCTGTAGTAAATATAGCACTTTACTTTGACAAAAGATGGGGAGTTTGCTTGGTAAGTGGGTATGGTGAAATACTGTGGCTTTTGGGGTATGCACAAAAGGCGGAATGAAGGACATCATCATTCTTGGGACTAAATGTTGTTATACGGGAAGTCATTGTCTTCTATCTCTTACTTCTGTACTGGCTTAAAATAGCAATCTGCTGTATTGATTTGTCAGTTCCTCCCTTTT